AGTAATAAATCAATAGCAATGAATAACAACGTATCACGCCATAGTAATAAATCAATTAGTACGTATACATGGTTGCCTGCACATTTAGCAATAATTTAGGCAACCAAGGACAATTTATTATTCATGATTTAATACCTATCATAATTATAGAAGTAAAATGTACGTATGCGTTTCTGATCGGTCACTTTACTGTGTTTGTGTATTTTATGTTCTAAAGAATTACATAATATGATTCGTAACCACAATTAAAACAGATAGAAATAAATTTCTTTTATTTCGGAAAAAAGTGGGAAATTCATTTGTTTGTGAAGAAATACTTTTATTTGCTTTTTATTTGAAAAACGGATGTGCATATGAAGATTATCATTATGTTTTATATTTCGTAGCTCTTATACACAACAAGTTTTCATGTTTTACTTGTTTCTTTATTTTTTGTTCAATTTCATTGAAATTTTCATAGGAAATTAATATTTCCAAATTGATTTGATGTAAAGAGATTATATTTAAGCCGCAGTCATCTGCTTTACAGTGTAAACCTGGTTATAGTAATATCTGAGATATTCGCATATAAAGAGGATCAAATAAACTACAAAAATTTTTATTTGTTACAAAGGATTAGTTTTCAATCACTTTCCTCGTTGAATTTGTTCTAAAATCACCAAATGCATTTCAACCCATTTGGGCCATTCACCCAAGTCATTTCATTCATTCACAATTTTTTTTTAATTGCTAAAATTAAGGTACTTCTATTAAATGATATTTAATATATATATATTAGCTAGGGACGGTTTGTATACTTAACCAGTTTTAAACCAAATATAAAATCATATTAAGAAAAAACTGGATAAGAAGTTTTCACGACAATGAATTTACACTTTGCCAGTATGAGAATTTATATCGACAATTTTTTCACCAAAATATTATTGACCTAATAGCATTTTTAATGGGCGCGATTCGTACACTATACGCGTTTTACTAAATAGTAAAATTCATTTAATTAGCATATTAAAGTAAACTATACAACATATCGAACTAACAGATTTCGATATTCAAAATCATTATATTTAGATTTGTACACAGGCTCAAAGTGAGGACACCATTTTCTAATCTTGGTTTGCATAATCTGATAGTCTTAACGCTTAAAACTACCGATGCATAATGCGTCCTTAATTCAAAATTAAAAATGAAGTTGAAAAATAAATACACAAACGAGTAAACATAAAATTATACAAACATTAATTCTGCATTTTTATAAAAATTAACACAGATCTTAAAAGCAGCATTTTAACAAACCGTGGGACTTATAGTTTGAAACTTGCGGAGCGAACATTTAATAGTTTTGGTAGTTTCAACATTAAATCCAGCTGCTGTGTTGCTAGCGGTTCAACCAAATACCTAATCTAACCTAACCAAATAACGTGAACTAATGTCACCCATCAACGGTTGAAAAATGAAAAAGTGAATTACGTCATTCGTCTTCAATGTGTTAATGTGTGAATTTATGATACGATACCTTCGTCCTACACGTGACTTCCATTAAAAATCGAAATAACATTTTCAAATAACGTAATAAAGTAATATGATATAATTTTAAATTACTTCCTGAGAAGCGTCCAGGACTGTGTTAAAAGTACTGGAGCATTAGAGACGAGCAAATAGGGATTGGGTTGGGTGTCGCGTCGCACCGGGGCACGTCGATATTTGTGGCGTCATGCAGAACCGTCACAGGGCTGATTCTCACGGATACGATAGCATCGTTACGCATCTCCGTGTCGTCATTAGCATCCGTGATTCATATATTACGCAGACATCATGGATAATGCGAGTCAGCATCACGAGCGACAATAGTGTTTGGTCGACGCCGTGGATTTCAGATTACGCTCGAGCGTATCGGCGCCTCGATTGTGGCGATTAACGGTAACAGAAGTATACTCGGGCTTGAGAATGTATTTCGGATCAACGAGAATCTGGGTAATTGTAATCGGATTAAAGGATTTGCGAGATCGCGTCGATGATCGATAACTACGGTGATTCCAATCGCTTTTGCAAGAATCGAAAACTGTATTGAAATTGATAGTGGTAGATGGTCGAATGCTACGGTGTTAAACTGTTGCATATGAATTGGCCGATTTCCACACTTTAAAAGTCTGATATATTATTTGTATTTATTGTGTTTATGGGATAAGTCCCTTTTATACAGAAAGAAATATGAGATGAGGAGGAACATTTAATATGTTTTATAACTTTACAACAACTTAAAGCAAACAAAGTACAAATTCACGTTTAAATAAAAAAAGAAGTAGAAATAAAATAAGTTAAAAAGGAGTGTAGAGAAGATGTACAATGTGATGTAATATAAAACACACGTCGCGTATTGACAGCAAAAATTAAGAATTAAAAGTCAACTCGTATTTTAAGGATGTTATAGGGTTTCTGAATATATCAATATTAAAATGAACAGAGTTAACATAATTTCCGATTCGATTTAACCGTAATTAATGTGATGTTTATTACAAATTAAATTGTAGTTGTTTAGACAAATTGAGGTTGTATTCAAAAAGAAAAGCTAGATTATATCATATTTTTAATTATTTTACAAAAAACTATTACGTCGAGCATTTTTCTTTCATTGTGCAATATTTTGAGATTTAGGGTATTAAGAATTACATTGCAGTTGTGAGACTTAAATGGACAACTACTATGCTCTGTAGCAAGCCTTCAAAATTTGTGTTGGCGCATTTAATATCATTAACATGAGAGTCATAGTACAGAGACCAGATTATACTTCCACATTCTAAACTAAGTCTAATTAATTGGAAGTACAGCATTCTGAGAGTAGCAGTGTTCTATTTGTTAACATAGGAATACTATAAAACAGTATTTATGATATATCAAATTGAAATTTAAAGTTTATCGAAAATGATTACGTCAACATCTCATAAACTGATTGGATTGGAATACTGTAATTTAAAACTTAAAATTTGCTGAAAACGGTTGTATAAACTTTTCATAATCTTTTGTAGCATGAATTCGTTGGTTGTCAAAAAATCGTTTCTTTGGTTATTCCAATACGATTATACAGGGTATCTCACAACTAGTGTAGTCTTTAAAATGAGGGATAGCTGACGTGATTCTGAATAAGATTTCCCTTTGCAAAAATGGAGTTTGAAGCTTTGTTTTTGAATTATTGAAGAAAAACACGGACCAATCAGTGCGCGAAGATTATTACGTGTTGGATTATTATGCGTTGGATTATTACGCGTTGGTTAACTACGTGTTAGATTACCACACGTTGGTTAACTACGTGTTAGATTACCACGCGTTAGATTCCTACGCTTAGAATTACCACCCGTTGCATTACTACGCGTTGGACTAATACGCATTGAATATCCGCGCGCTGGATTACTACGTGTTAGATGTCCACACGCTGGATTACTACGCGTTAGATTACCACGCATTAGATTCTTACGCTTAGAATTACCATGCGTTGCATTATTACGCGTTGGATTACTACGTGTTGAATATGCACGCGCTAGATTACTACGCGTTGGATATCCACACGCTGGATTACTACGCGTTAGATTACCACGCATTAGATTCTTACGCTTAGAATTACCATGCGTTGCATTATTACGCGTTGGATTACTACGTGTTGAATATGCACGCGCTAGATTACTACGCGTTGGATATCCACACGCTGTATTACTACGCGTAGGATTACCACGCCTTGCATTACCACGCGTTGGATTACCAAGCGTTCAATAACTACGCGTTATCCGAAGCTGCCGCTCTCGCGCTTTGATTGGTCCATGTTTTTCCTTAACCCTTTGCCTTACGATTTAATTTCCAACTGTGCGGGCCAAAAGCGACAACAAGATCGGTCGCGTGCAGAGACATACACAGCTTGGCTCAGCGTTCGTAACTGTACAAATCGCAAACTTCCTATGATTTGTATATACACGTGCGCGGTACAATTAACTTTGCAAGATGTTTGATAAATAATTACGATTAGTTGATTATTAAACGAAAAAAAAGATTTATTGTTGCAAGTTTCAGAAATGTCTTGTTTATGTTTCGCCCGGTAGACTTACGATGACTCTGAGGCGTCTTATTCATGTTTGGCTCGATAGACTTAGGACGTCTCTGAGGCGTTATTGTAAGCTAAGGGGTTAATAATCCAAAAACGAAGCTTCAAACTCCATTTTTGCAAAGAGAAATCTTATGCAGAATCATGTCAGCTATCCCCCATTTCAGGGACCTACACTAGTTGTGAGACACGCTGTATTCTAACGATTAACAATTTTATGCTAAATACATTAACGAAAACTTTAAACAGATTATTTTCTACAAACATCAAGCTTTAAATTAATGTAATACAAGTTCTACTTGGCGATACTTTTAATGTTTCAAAATTAAAATGCTACAACCTAATAACACGACAAGACTTCTTTTAGCAGCTAGTCAATTTTTGTGAAACACATTACTGAAGAAATTGCGCTGTTATTTTTATTAAATTTACTTTCATCCTTCGTTTAAATTAATATAGTATAAATACTTTATGTACGTACTTGTATGTCACCAATTTGCTTCTATGCTTTGAAATGAGTCGTTATTTCCTGTAATTAGCGAGCAGCCATTTCATATTATGGAGGTTAATGGAAAGTGTATATTCATTGTCATTACATTTCAAACTGCAAATTGATATGCCATAAATGCCGTTTTGTTTTGAAATCATAACCAGTATCAACCAGAAATGAAGTAATGTATAATTGAATATTATTTGATTATATTATGAAAGGGTATGAAAATAACACAATTTCCAGTTTAATTACGATCGACGTTTTCCCGGTGGTTTGAATTATTTTCGGTTATATTGCTTAAAAATACACGAGATTTACCAGAAATATCTCAAACTTCGATCGTAAAGAATTAATAATAAGAATTTCACATTTTTAGTTAAAGATAAACTCAAAAAGGATTTGAATTATTCGTTATTTTAGATATCAACAATGTATCCTGTCCACCATTGAATCCCGAGGGCCGAGGCTATTTAATGTGTTCTCGTATGACAACACCAAAACCATGGAGAGGTAGACGAAAAGTGACCAATCGACCAGGTACCAAGTGTTTCTTGAAGTGTCCCCACGGGTATCAACTTCGTGGCGAATACGAATTGAGTTGTCGATCGGATGGCTCTTGGGACGGTCCGAAACAAGGAGAGTGTGTCAGTAAGTAGAATTTCTTTCACTGTTAATTACGGTACATCGATTAACCACTGATAATTATTGGTTAGGTTAATTTTAGGTTAGAAATTTTAATAGTTCTATAAAATTATTCAGTTTCATTCTATAATATATCTTTGAAATATTTTTATGATAATTTGTTACAAAGTATTTGCTATGGTATTTAATTAAGTTGCTTTTTGAGAGGAACAAAATTAGTTTCAATAATATAATTTTAAACAAAATATTAGTTTTGGTAAAATATTATATATTTAATTCGAATTTTTTACGACAACTTTTGTTTATCAATATTTGTTTGTTAGTCAGCCAAGTTATTAATAAAAAAGTTATGAAGTACAACAGTTAATACATCTGAACTCGACCTTCTGAATATGACGCATGATGTATATTAGTTATAACACATATCAATATCCGTACATCAATTACAATGATCACAGTTTACTGTTGACATAACAGCAAACGTGTAATCAAATACATCATCATCCACACTAACAAACTGAACAGTTTGCTGTAGACGTAACAATAAACGTGTAATCAGAGTATATCGTCATCTAGATTACCAAAGTGAACAATCACAGTTTCCTGTAGGCATAATAATAAAACACGTAGTCAGAGTATATTGTCATTCACACTAACAAAGTGAACAATCAAACTTTGCTGTAGTTGCAACAATAAACGCGTAATCAGAGCACATCACCATTTACGTTAACAAAGTGAACGGTCAGTTTGCTATAAATGTAGCAATAAACATGTGATCAAGGCATATTGTCATCCACATTAACAAGCTGAACAATTACAGTTTGCTATTGATGTAGCAAGAATCATGTGAACACAATGTATCGCCATCCACATTAATGAAGCGTATAATCAGTTTGTTGTAGTTGTAAGAATAAACATGTGATCACAGCATATCGCTATCTACACTAGCAATGTGAACAGTTAGTTTGCTATAAATATAACAATAAACATGTGATCATAGTACATCACCATCCACGATAATAATCCCTTAGCTTGCAAGGTTTTCAGCACAGTTGCCTAATTAACTGCTGCATTAAAGTAAATGAAGAATATTGAAATGTTAGGTGTATTTTGGATTTAGCGATCTTTAATTATACAAATTGCAATTGGTATCATATTCAAAACTCGATCTGTGCAAATACGATTTAATTCTGTCACATTTAAAGTGTAACGAGTCTGACTCGATGTTATAGGCTGAGGGGTTAAAAGTGTACCACAGCTATACTTGCAACAATAAACATGTGATCACAGCACCATTCACATTAACAAAGTGAACAATCGCAGTGTTCTATAAACGTAATAATAAACGCATAATCAGAATATACCACAATCTGCATTAACAAAGTGAACAGGTCTGCTGTAGACGTAACAATAAATATAAACCCAGAAGCCATGCGGATATAATTACAGTTGTAAACATATTCTGTTACAGGATACAGCAAGCCCCGTTTAGAATGTCCAAAAGACGTGATAGCAGAATTATCACCAGGTCGAGACGAAGCATTCGTCACGTTTGATCAACCATCGACGGATCTTGATTGGTTCCGATATGTTCGATCAAAACCGTCTTGGGGTACCAGATTGGAGGCAAATCTGACTCCCGGTGTCCACGAGATCACGTTCTACGCGAGGCACCCTGTATCGAAGAAACAAACCAGCTGCGTATTACGCATCATCGTCAAAGGTGATTAATTAGTGCACGTGCATGAAATCAATGCATGACATGTAAACTTCGAAATGATAATCACTATTGATCATCAAACATCGCTATTAATCAACGGGTAAGCCCCGGTCTGTGGGCTGTCTTATCGGATGACAAGATCGTGAACGATTAATTTTCTCGGGTTTAAAGGACTGCTACGAGTAACTTCCTATCAGTGTTTGCTTTTCTCAAGATTGTTCTTGTTCCGAATGTTGCTCTTATTCTTGCTTTGTTAGTGTTGAACTGATGAGAAGAGATTTTACGAGGGTAACGGTATCAATTACCACATGAAAGGAACTGGTAACGCGAATGGCGGTAATATAACGAGACTCTACTGTACTCTTAACAGCAGACTCTTTTATAGTTTTGCGAATAATATTGATAAAGTTAATGTAACGACTGTGTCTCATTTCAATGTAAATATATTATTGACTGGAATTTCAAAACAATAAAGTTACAAGTATTTTACTTAATATTGCAAGGAGTACAACAAACACATGAATATTAACGTGTTCATTAATAAATATAATAAAAATTTTGGAAAGATAAGTTATTAAACACATATTGTATTGTATTTTGTAGTGCACACGCATTTTATTTCTGTTATGATTTTTATAGAAAAGCGTATGTCAAAGTATGTGCATAATAGCGTGTTAAAATTAAAAACAATGCAATTAATAGTGAAATAAGGATAAGACAAATTTTTATTTATAATGTTTCCATGTAGGAGGCATTAGATCAAATGTATTTTCAAATTGATTGGCTTATAAACTTACATCAACATCCGATAATTAACACTTAATTAAAAAATCTGCATATATTCATAAGAAACTTCTCTTTAAATAATCATAGATTTATATTTTCGATAATTCTCTCGATTGAGAGATTTTTTCTTTCTGAGGTAATCAAAATATTAGCTGTTTACTCTTGAAAGTACTTAAAAGTAGACTGTCGTTATATTGAAACTTAAACAAGTATCCTATATGTATACATATAAGTTCCTATGCATATTAGTGTATTCTATATCTTCAAAATAAACATTACAAAAACTTAGTATTTTTGCATAAATATTAACGAAATTAAAAAATATATAGTACCATTTAGAAAAATTAGACGTTTACAATTCCATTACACATTAATGTAGAAAAAAACTATGACATAATTTACCTCTCGAAATCATGTAGCGTTTAAAAAAATTATTTATATCATCATTTTCTAAAATATTTGAGGAGATTGTTTTAATTGTAACACTATGTATATCACCGACTGAAGACTCATAGACAACAATATGACGACACACTTACACGAAACAGCCCGTCCATCCCCACTTTTCGCAGACTTAATGTGTCATTATGATGTTTTTTTAGAAAACTTTTCTCCCAAAGTGATCATTATCGTACCTATTTAAGGCACCAAATAGTATGTCCATTAAAAGACATTTCAAGTCCCATTCTTACGTCGTGCAGTGTTTTGAAACAGCCATCTTCTCGTTATGTCGCCGTTCAAATGAGGTTTTCTTTACATAAATGTTCATACACGCTTGCAATGCATATAAGAAACAACGATCGCGATTGCTAGTTCCGCATGTGTTGAGTGTGGAGCTTTAGTGAGATGTGTGTATAGTTACGCGTCGAATTACTCGTATCGAATTACTACGCGTCGAATTACCATCCGTCGAATTAACATCGTCGAATCCATCGACGTTTTGGATCACCAAGCGTTAGATCAACACGCATTAGATAACCAAGCGTTGAATCAATACGCGTTAGATAACCAAGCGTTGAATCAATACGCGTTGGATCACCAAGCGTTAAATATCACGAACCGGTGGATCACTACGCGTGGAATCAATACGTGTTGAATTACCAAGCGTTAGATCAACACATGTTAGGTAACCAAGGATTGAATCAATACACATTGGATCACTAAACGTTAGGAATCACCAACCGGTGGATCACCACGCGTTGAATCAATACGTCTTGGATCACCAAGTGTGGGTCACCACGTGTTAAATCACTACGTATTAGATCTCCACGCGCTGAATTATCACGTGTCAAATTGCTAAATGTTGTATGATACAGCGATATGCTACCACGAATTAAATTATCACGCACTGCATTATCGCCTAGCAAATTACCCAGCGTTGAATTACCAAGTGTTAAACTATCACGTGTCGAATTACCTGGCGTCGAATTATCACACGTCGAATTACCATCCGTCGAATTACCTGGCGTCGAATTACCACGCGTCGAATTACCACCCGTCGAATTACCACGCATCGATTTACCACGCGTCGAATTACCACGCGTCGAATTACCACGCATCGATTTACGACGCGTCGATTTACCACGCGTCGAATTACCACGTGTCGAATTACCACGCGTCGAATTACCACGCGTCGAATTACCACGCGTCAAATTACCATGCATCGAATTACTACGTGTTGAATCATCAAGCATTAAATAAGTACGCGCTCGAGCACCACGCGTCGAATCACCACGTATTAAATCACCACGCATTGGATCACCACGCATCGAATCATGCACCGAATTACTATCCATAGTATAGCCATACACTGTATTGCCTAAAATGGTAGCATACAATTTTATGTTACCATGCATTACATCACCACACGTTGTATTACTGCGCGTCATGTGTTGTATTGTCACGCCTTAAATTATCAGACATTGTAATAGGGCGTGTTGTATCGTGCCGCATTGAATCACCATGCGTTATTATTGACATATGTTGAATGGCCAAGCGTTGTACTAGCGCACATTAAATCATAGCATATTGAATTATCATGGGTTAAATCTATTTCGACTGTATATTTCGCCACGTTTGTACGGAAACCTTCAGTGGACGAAATATAAAGAGTTTAAAAAAGAAATGGTAAATATTGTAAGAGTAGATAGGGGTCATAAAATAATATAAAGAGCTCCTAACGAACATGGATCAAAGAACCCACACATTCAAAGTAACAAGCAATTTTCTGTTTAAATTATACTGTTCGCGATGCTTCTGATAATTAACCTTGATAAATTATATGCTGTTATAAAAATATCTTACTATTTCTACTATTGATATTTGTAATATTTATCCACTTAGGCTTTACATCTTCATATAAGAGAATTTCAAACGATTTCAAAAATTTTCTTCACATTTTGCACTGACATCTTCTATGCTTTTACAAAATTTATTTACGTCTTTAATCAGTGAAGAGTACATTATATTCTTCAGAAATTTTTATAAGAAAAAATGTAAAGGATTAAAATCAGTCGATGGAAAACCGTGCAACTAGTACACCACGTTCAATCCACTTTCCTCGGAAATTTTGGTTTAATATTGCTGGAGGATTTAGAGCAAAATTAGTTGATCCACCATTATGCATAAATCACAGTTGCAATCTATCACGTAGACGAATGTCATGCAAAAACTGTTGTAGCATATGCAGTCAGGAAATTATGATGCGCAACACCTGTTGGTAAAATAAAAGTAGTTGATCGCCTATTATGTTCATCGATTATGTTGATGAAAACAGATATTGGCGATTTATCTGAATAATCAAGCGAGATTTTCTTCAGCCCACATGTGGTTGACATGAAAATTCGTGATGCTGTCTCTTGTTAACGCAGATTCATCGGTAAATAAAATGTGCAAAATAAATTGCGGATTTAGCGCATGTTCAATACTCAGAGGCAACGTTGGTTGCTTTTTAATAAGCAGAAATTCTTATGTGATGTTGGTAAATTTTAAATTTTTATATTAAGAAATTTGTGAAATTCAGGATTTCTAATTTTAAAAAATTGTAAATTTATAAATGTGCAAAATTGTAAATTTATAAATGTGCAAGTCCCTAAATTTCAAAAATTTCAAATTGTTAAATTTATCAATGTTCTACATTCTCAAATGAACACACTGTCAAATTTCTAAATATCCAATTCCTAAAAATTACAGACTTAAATATAGCCAATTGCAACTCTGTTAAATTTCTAAATATTCAAATTTTCAAATGATCAGTTACTGAATTATTATTATTTCAAATTTTGAAATTAACAATTATCACATTGTTGTATTCCCAAATTTTTTAATTTGCAAATCACTTTCGCCCGATTATTAAATTTGCTAATGACCGATTTCTAAATTTTTAAATTTGCAAAAGACCGATAGCCCAATTATATAACTAGAAAAGTATCAATTTTTTTATTTTTATATTCCTGAAATGACCCACGCGCGCAAATCACTAAATTTGCAAAATACCAATTCCTGGATTATTAAATTAAAAAATTTTCAAGTTTGTAAGTGATCAATTCCTAAATTGCTGCATTTATAAATGACTAATTTCTAAATTTTCAAACTGGCAAATGAAATATTTCCAAGCTACTAAATTCACAAAAAAACGATTTCCAGACTCTTTAATTCCCAGATTATTAAATTCATAAATTTTCATATTTGCAAATGACCAATTTCCAAGTTACAAAACTTCCAAATGATCACTTTGCAAACTTGCAAACTTGCAAATGACCGCTTACCAAATTTTCATTCTTCCAAATTTGCAAACGATCAATTTCCATATTACTAAATTTACAAGTTTAAATATGCAAACAACCATTTTGTATGTTGGTAAATTTTTAACTGACCAATTTCTAGGTTACTAAACTTCCAAATGACCAATTTCCAAAACTTGCAAACTTCCAAACAACCAATTACCAAACTTGCAAATGACCAATTACCAAATTATCAAATTTCCAATCTTTCGAATTTGTAAGTGACCAATTTCCAAATTTGCAAACTTGCAAATGGCCAGTTACCAAATTATCAAATTTCCGATTTTTCGAATTTGCAGGTGACCAATTTCCAAACCTGCAAACTTGCAAAAGACCAATTACCAAATTGTCAAATTTCCAATCTTTAAAATTTGCAAATGTACAATTTTCAATTTCCTATATTTCTTAATTATTAAATTCTCAAGTTTCCCAGTTTTCGAAATACATTCGAAGTTTCCAAATTTCCAAATTCAAAATCTTCGCCATTCTAACTTCCCAAATTTCCTATCTACCGTCAAAATAATGAACACACTACATAAGAAAGTAGCAACGTATCGGTTCGTATCGATATCGAACTAAATTGTTCGCTATAATTGTTGGAATTATTTCAAATTCCACAATGGCGCCAGGGGACTGGGATAAAATACGAGTCTCTCGAAGGCAGAACGGATCGTCTTATGGGAATTTCGCATCGTGGTTCAAAGAAGTTCTCTTCGTCTTCCGGAATCCCAGCCGACGCTTTAATTAAATGCGTTTCCGGGATAAAGCTCGCCACAATGCCGTATAATCTATGGATCGCTGGTCTTCGCCCTGCGAATTAGATTAGCTGATGAATCCTACAGAATGCTTCGCTGATTCTTGCCAGCGATCACTGAACCACTCGCGGTTAAATTACGGTTGTTTGTTTGTGCTTCTCCGTTGTTCTTTTATGTAGCACAAGATTGGGATCCATGTATGGATTGCATTGTTTTAAACGTGAAATTGGGTAAATTCAGAGGAGAGTAGGGGTTGTGAAGAGGAAGTTAATTAAAGGACTGCATTCAAATGAGGCACCTTGTACGGAGAGGGTGTTAGGACGTTGAAGTTGTTTAAACTCATTTGTTCGGTTCGATGTATTCTGTGGGTCATTAGGGGATGACTTACAATTTAAAATACTCGAGTGTTCAAATTAGGAGAGAATTGCTTAAATTCACTTAAAATACTTTCACGTTTTACTGTCAAATTCACAGTAATTTATGTAGGTGGTGATGGATGTTTAAATTTATTATCAGATAGTTACACTCTTTCAAGAATATATTTGTTCTTACAATTTTTATAATTTCATGAAAACATCGTACGGTTACAAATGAAAACAATTGAATAAGTTTGTGTCAACGTATGCTAAAAGTAAACAAGTAAATATATAAAAAGAAAAATATAACACATAATGTTAACAAACATTTATTTGTTTTTACTTATTAATACAAATATTTATTATTTTTTTAACATAAATATGTATTCGTAGTAATAGAATTAATTCATATTATATTTAAAGTAAATGCGGAAAAAATATTGCGCATAGAATAAGAATTATTAAGTAGAATATTTATAAACTTGAAGTACTATTTACTATTATATTATAAAATAATGCACGCGAGATTTGAGGTTGCATGCAAATCGTTGATGTGAAAACTGAGAAGAAGGGTTATTGATAAATTAAGCGAGAACATATTGAAGAGTTGTATTTGTTTAATTGAATTAATTCGTACAAAAATGGATAATTTCCTACCTGCACATAATCACACGCTTGATTTCACCTTCATTTCATCCAGTAATTAATTAACATCGGTTTCCGCGTATTACACATAAATATTTGTGGTAATTATCCGCTTGGGAATTCTGGTGTAATAATATTCCACTTCTGCAACAGAAGTTTACGTTGCGCCCGAATGCATACCGTATGCGAATCTAGAAATTGCATTTTGCTAGCACTCTCGATTTTCGAGGAACGTGATTTTGAAAAGAAAATTATAAATACTCAACGCTATAAGTTCCCTAAACTTATGCGATAATAATTACTATATTATTTATTGCATCAATTACTATATTATGTATTCCATTAATAACTATATTATTTATTGTGATACGCATTCACTAAAATGACATGACAGAAACTATTAATGAACTTTAATAGGCGAATAAATAAAAATTATACTTAAAGTAAAATAAATCTATTCGTAAGCTTTTGGAATATTAAAAAACAAACACATTTAACAATAAATCATGTAAACGTAATATTTTCATAACTTAATTAAAAGTTATTTAATCTTCGTTAAAAATTTTCAGTATATGACTCTCTTCCCAAATATTTTTATACGCTTTCAAATATCGATCAACCTCGTATTTAACAATGGACTTCCAACTGATGCCCAGATGTGAACATAATCGTGTTCCATTATTTTTGAAATATTTGACATCGTGAGATATTTGCCGATACATTTTATGTATCAGTAGCCGAGATGTTACGGTGTTCCATATTAGGTGCAGTTAACCTACTCGTGTTCATACTTCTGTTAAAGCTAGAATAAAACTGTGGAGTCTCAGGCGAGCGATTATGGTCCAATGGACATTTTATAAAGTCATAAATGATGCTGATATTCGTTCAGTTTTTAGTAAATTGCGATAGAACATTTTATAGATGGACAAAATAGTACTGTAGGTAAACGGAAACTTTTATGTATGTGCGTCGGAGCGTCGGCAATATTTAGTGACGATTAGACGATGCTAAGTGGGCTGTAGCGTGAGTAATTATATAACCGATGTATGCTTTCAACTTGTTTTTAAATGATGTTCCAATCTGAGCTACTGGTGTCTATATGTATCCGATGTTGTTCCGGAGTCAACAACCTCGTGTGTGTTTCGTGTCTGTCAGTTCGATTGCTAATTTCACAAGATGAAGGCTCGGTGTAGGCATACAATTTCTACAAACAAGGCTGAGGGAAATAGTCCTTAATTTTTATTGAAATTCGAGTGGAATTGAGAATCCAAGTGACACGATGGGTCTGGTTATTCTGCAAAAAGTGACCATAGCAAGGGATAAAACCAAGCAATACTTCAGCATAAATAAGAAACTGCAAATAAAGGACTCTATTATTGAGATTAAGGATCCTATCAACCAAATTCGAATACAAATAAACTAAACATACTCGATAGCATGTAACAACTCTTTGTGTTATTGTTGCTACTGTAACCTATTGTTTGGACCTGTACAAAGTGTCCGGAGAAATTAAAAACCGTATAATACTGTATCGATAGAAACTTAGACTGGTGTCTAATCCTCTTGCGATGATGTTTTAAGATCTAATATTTGATTTTTGTCTTTATTCTGTATGTTGCAGGTGGTGAAGCACCCAAAGTGAAAGACTGTCCAAACGACATAGAGGTCACCGGGAAAAATGGGACAGCGATCACATGGAATGAACCAATTTTCACGGATAATGTAAAGGTGACCCGGATTAGAAGTAACGAGGTCAGTGTTAATTATAAACCACTTAATTTCTTAACGATGTTCGATCATACTGCGATCGTCAGATGTGTGTCACGTTCCTATAACGCGTTGATAGACTTTGAACTGTATCATACGTTAGAACGTTTTTGCATAGTGCGGTTCTATTTATAGTAAACGTACGGTTATATGCGTTATTCGACAGTCAACAAAATATAATAAATGGAGGACGTTATAGAATTATGTTCGGTGACAGTGTAAATTTAATTTGGCCGAATAATTGAGAAGTTATTGAAAATAATATGAATGTTGTGTATACGATAATGTGTCGGAGAAGAAGGAATTCTTCAAATTACTGAAATATTTTAATTTAGAGAATTGCGAAGTTGCAAATTTGGATATTTGAATATTTGGAAATGGGATCTGAGATTTATTAATTTGGAGATTTTTACACGTGGTAATTTGGGTATTTAAGAGGCTTCAGTTTTGGATTTTGAGTTTGGAATTTTGGGGATTTAGGAATTTTAGGATACGGAATTTTTGTAATTTTAAAATCTGGAAAGTTAAAAATTGGAAGATTTCAGAATCTGATTAAAACATTGTTAAACTCTTCAATTTTTAAATTTAAAATTTAATTTAATTTAATTTAATTTAATTTAATTTAATTTAATTTTTATATTTAAAATTTAATTTAAAAATTTAGAAATATGGGAATTTTAGTAATTGGGATTTGAAGATTTGAAAACATGGGAATCTCGAAGATTGAGTATTTAAATATTTGGGAATTGGGGGATTTTACTGTTAAGAAATTTAGAAATATAGGAATTTGAGAATATTTAGATTTTGAAACTTGAAGATTTAAAAGTTTGGAATATTTTAAGATATAGGAATTTAGAAATCTTGGGATCTGAAAACTTAGAAATTTGCAAACTTGAGAATTACGCCTCACGTGAATTCGAACGTGCATTTAAAATTTAGAGTACCTACTATAATTTATGTAGAACAAGAATGAGGCGAAGAGATTCTGAAATCGTTACAGACGATTAAGCGTGTCTGAAGCTATCGAAAATGATGCCAAACACGATTATTATTGATTTCATAACAACTGATGTTAACCTCTTGGGCACGGCTGAACATTACGCAGCGTTCTCTGTGCAGCAGAGTTCAACACGAATAACGCGTAAACAATACAACACTACAATACATATGTGACGGGCAATGCTCTTCTCTACGCGAGTACATTCGAATGAAGTTTTTGATGATTGAATTATAATTTTTCCCAAAGATATGATACATATACTTTAACTTTGACAATTTACTAATTTAGAAAATTCACAAAATATGTAATTTCCAAATGTTTGCAATATCGTGTATTAGCGCAAAGACTCACCCATAGTGTCTAAATTACTTGGCGTTACCTTTTATTTACATCTAGTGTACTTTTGTGGAATTTGTTAATATTCTTATAAAACGTGGTGAAGGTAAAAAAAGTGTGAATCAAAATATATGAGGATGATCATTCAATTGAAACGGTGAGCGAGTGAGCCACTATAGTGTTGTTATGTAATCTACGGTGTTATTTGCGAAAGCCACTATAGTGGACCATCATACACAGAGATGGTATCCATGAAAGTCACTAAAGTGGCGCATTGTGCCTAAGAGATTAATAACTATGTGTCAAAAATTATCGCCAAAATACAGTATTTTATCGATTGAACGATGACGGTGTTCCTGTGATCAAATCGTTGCCTAAAATCTATACAGAAAATGTAGAATGTCGCACGGGTCTACCCTAAAAATTTCAAATCTACAGACCGAAAACTGTGGCATGTAATGTGGCGCAGACAGACAAACCGATAAACGTACAAATGCAGATCGAGCGGTCCCAAGAGCCTCACTATCGGCAACTAATCGACTAGCGCTAGAATCACGTTGCATCTCGCATGCTCTAACACATCACAATTACATGAACGTTTCAACCCTGCTATTAATCATTTCGGCACCCGTTGTTTCAACGTTTCAGAGTCCGGGACGACGTTTCGATGTCGGTGGGCACAGAATAGAGTACGAGGCCAGTGACGAAGCTGGTTGGTCGAGCAAATGTGTGTTCACCGTAGTTCTTCGTCAAGAATGAATCGTGTCAGGAGCTATCAGGTAAGCGCGAGAAGGGGAAACAAGAAGAGGGAATAAACGACGATGAAGAAGGAATCCAGGTAAACACGAAGGAGAGAGAGGTTAAGGTAGCGGCCCAGAAGAATGACGATAAGGTAATATAAATGGAAATGCTTTGGAGTCGCGTGTAATGGATCCCGTTTTATCTGGAAGGTTAAGCGAGACGAGACACGGGTGCACAGGTGGATGCGCGCACTTGTGTGTAAATATCGTTTGCACTTGTTTAGCAACGAGAGGGTTGCTTCAGGATCATCCATGTACAATATCAACGTAGTTAAACAACATCGTCAATTCTTCTTTGTGTCGATTATAACAATAATAACCTATCGGGAAGTTTGTCTTCATACGAGGAATTTTGCATAACTGTAAACGATGACTGCATAATTTCAATAACTTTAAACGGTGGTCAGGTTACAAGGTGAATATACCCGTTAGCGATCAATCATATTTTATTTTATTCAGAGTGATAGATAAAGCCGAATTCCTGCCCAATGGCTGTCTAGCTTGTTCGGATCCAGCTGTGTAATATTACACATTTCATAGAAGCGCCGGTATCTGGATTTGATAGCGTGGAATCGAACGTGTTGAGGCTGAGACTAACTAGAAACTAACCTGGAAGTTTGGAATTTAACTCTTGAGATGCAGAAGTTCAGATTCCAGAAAGTAAAATGTTTCGAATAAAAGTTTAATGGTTTTCATAAAATTCTGTTTTAAATTTCTTTCTCAAGATTTTATTAATATAACGCACTCGTTAAATCATTAAACTTTTATCGGAAGTTTATTTTTCAGTTTCTAGCATTTCAAGAGTTATACAAACTCTGAATTTCATTTCGAGGTTAGTTTTTACGATCTTAAAGAAAGATTGGGCACGAATAAAGCGTATCATATAGCATTATAGTAAAATTTATAGAGTTCCATGAACCCAAGAATTTTTAAAGTTTATTAATTGAAATCGTGTAAATAATCGAGAATTGTAAATAAACAATTAATTGTTTGCAAATATTGAATCAGTTACTGTCGCGGATGCTACATGTTATGCAACGTCCCGCATGAATAACGTAACAAATGATTGACAAGCACCCGTATTTCCATCGTTTTTTTTAACGAAAAACAGGTGTTTGCAATATAAAACAATATATACGTTTGATTCATAAGCATCAACGATGAAAATAAAAATTGATGATCTTTGACGCGTTACTTCTCTCTCCACCGTGCGATAACGTATTCAGACTTCGGCATATATTTCATTCGAAACGGAATAAAAAATAATAAATTATTTCAATTCATTTGCAACGTAGAAAAAATAACTTTACTTTGAAATTCAAATAATTTTATTTAAATAAATCAAATATCTGTTCTATATAATTATAATTGGTTTTTTCATTACCTTCATCAACTTGGTCAATTTTGTGTTATTTATTAATTTACATTACTCTGATAGTATTACATTAATTAATAATATTTTGATTTGCCGCCATGTACGATGTATGATTTCTAAATTCATGTTTTATTTGTTTTATTACTTTACTTCATTATTTATATTTGGTTCAATTCTACTTATTATTTTGTATACTAATTCGTTCGAAATCATTTTTATTCCTAAATGTGAATTATTACCATTATTATGATTATGATGACCTTTTTTGAATAACGTCGCCAACTTCAGCTAGTGCTATACATTTGAACAATCGTATAATGTATTTAAATATTTTCCATCTATACTATCGTTTTATACATACCAGTTAAAATCCAACAAATAATGATGGGCAGATAAATACTGGGTTAATGAATTTTTTAATATGGCGTATTCTATCGAAAAATCTGAAAAAATTCGATAATAATAATTACGCTAATACGTTGCTGCCATAACAATTTAAAAGTAGTTTACATCTTCGATAAAAAATTCTATTTGTTCCAATTATTTTGCAGTGCTTTATTTTTTACAACTACAGTGTTCAAACAAAGAATCTGCAAAAATTTTGTAATATATGCCACTAGGTTTCTAATGTTTCAGAATTTTTGTATGTCATTGAATAGGAAATATAGGGCAAAAATTGAGTTGAAACTTGAAATGTTTTTTTTTGATACTTTATCGAATGACGTAATGCAACTTTTATTTGGCTTAAAAACGCATTTGATCATCCTATTCGGCTATACCGTTTCTTATTAAAATATTTGAATAATGTCCAAGTCTGAACGTATCCAGCAAACCATGTACGCGCACACAATGCGTATTCCCGGTCTCGTCGATCTTCCAGAGGCTGATTTTTCGCGGCTCCAACGACCTACAAGTATCCCCATCGCGCTCTCGCGTTATCCGCCTCGTATTTCTTCACCGTTCCACCGTATCGTTGCCCACACACGGTGTATGTACCTCGCAGAGAAACATACAGATTTATCCTAGGCTCGATCCATCGCAGCTTCGCGATCGACGCGGTACAGCAGAGATGCAGAAACTTCCGGAAAATATGCTCGAAATACGTTTTCTGAAATTACGGGTTGCGTTCACGATACAAAACGAAGATAAAACCGAACGACATATCGTACAATCTATTACTTAACTAATAACGATGAAAATAACGACGTTTATGATACGTGCTTCGGATTCTTTATCTGTTAATAAAATGAAACAATTATGTAATTTTGAAAAATTGCCAAATTATGTTGTAGTTGAAATATAATTAATTTTATGTGCTATATATTTAAACGTCAAATTGTTTGTTGTTTTATTTGAATATAAGAATTATTTATTCATATAATGTGTTCCAAAAATCATGGTTATGATGTCGAACAAAATAAATAAAATTTGTTGATGTCCTTCTTAATTAAACAGTTTATTACTGAACTAACGACGAAAATAAAGATATTTATAATACATGCTTTGGATAATTTTCTATTTGTCTATAAATTCAAACAAGTTTAATTCTAATAAATAATTTCTAAATTATTTTTTATTGTAGCCGAAATATAATTAATTTTATGTGTTTGTCAAATTATTTATTACATTTGAATATAAAAATTATTTGTCTATATAGAGTGTTTCAAAAGTCATCGTACAGTGACCAGATGGTGAGTCCATACACAAAATTAGGTCGAAAGAAATAATATTTTTTCAAGGCAGTATATTATTTTATCATTATGTTTGCAATAAAATACATTCAAGAGTTAAGTCACCATGTATTTTCTGTTATCATATCATTGTTTAATTGTACCAAAATAAAAATAAATAGTTATTGCCACTATTAATTATCCTTAAAAAAATTTATTATGAATCTTTCACACAATATAAAAAAAATGGAAAGCAATCGAAATTAATTAATATTTTAATTAGGTTATTGAAAAACTATTTCCTCACTGATTTCACTGACCTTGAAATATCCTGCCGAGTTCAATTCTAAATAAATTCTAATAAATATAATACGTTCTTTGATTCACTTTCCAAGTTTTACATAAAAATATGCTCACTATTATACATGTACCTTGCTTGTGACTGTACGTTACTTCTTCATTAAACCTGATAGATATTAACAAAACTCTTCTTAATATTTTTATATTAACATATACTAAATAAAAAAGTAACGTCACAATTGAATTTCAAACTTGAACATTTTTGTAAGTCACAGTCTACATAACCTGCAAAAATTTCTGTTTCAACTTGAAGTAATTAAAATAAACAAGTTGTTATGTCAACTGTTGTTAACGGAGCAACTAAAAATTTTTCGTAAAAATTAATTCGGTCATGAAAGGCTAATTTCGTGAGTCAGCGTAGATCACGCTGAAATCTGTCCGGGGTTGCATGCAAATTTCCGAATCGGCAAGTTGTATTAACCGTCGAACGAGCTTCGACGATTACCTTGTACTACGTGTAAAAAAACGAGCATACCATTTGCATGTATTCGATGGCTGGATGAAGCTCGATGTTCAATCGAGTTCAGTCTAGGACTGCTGCTATCATTTAAAATCGAAAATATCGAAATATTAAGGCATTACATATGTATATGCGAATGTAATACGGAGATCCTTTAGATGAGTTCGCATATGAAAATCTAGGGATATTTACGAACAAATGTATTATTAACTGCCTGAACTTTTGGGTTTTAACATTTTCGAATTTCTAATTTTTTGTATTCTTGTATTTTCTAAATTTTCGAAACTCGAAGTCTTTACATCTGCAGATTTTTTTATATTTCAATTGTTACAATTTTAGATTCCTTTAATCTATTAATTTTCGAAGCATGAAATTCTTCAATTTTCCAACTACTCACATTTATAGTACTTCAAAGTTTTAAATTTTTAGGTTATTAAATTATTATATTTCTAGATTTTATTGTTATCAAGTTTTCAAATTTCAAGTATCTAATGTTCCAAATTCTCACTTTCAAAGTCGCAAACTTCCAAACTATGCGAAGTTCCAAATTCCCAAATTATTATTCGAAGTTTCAAACTCCCAAATTATTCGAAGTCCAAATTCCGAAAGTAGCAAGTCTAGAATTTCTCAAATTCCAAATTCCTAAATGACTAAATTTGAAATTTTTTAATCTTCACATTTATACATCTCGTAAATCATAATATAATACCTTGTATATTTCACAGATAACATTGATTTAAGTTTTGTATATTTCAATATATCATAAATCCAAGTGCCATCTTTATAACGAAGCAAACCAATAAAGTAAACTAACGTGTATCATGAATGTATAAACCATAACTTACTAATTATTATTTAAAATGAAATCCCATCAGAATTTATCTATTTTCGTTCAAGAAATAACCGCAATCTTGCACTTTTCGGTTTGACTGCAATTTATAATTCCTGTAAAAAGTGGATTAACAAAATATTAACGAACAAACTGGTTAAATTTTACTTTTATAACACAAAAGATTGCCATAAGACTTTTTTCATCATTTAATAGTTTTTGATGCCTAGAATACAAAAATGCAAGTTTCAATGTTACAAATCCAGCGGTTATGCAAAGTTGAGCATTTTCTGCTTATTTGACATTTTATGAACGTGTTTATACTACGTTTATGAACGTTAAAATGATTATATAATGTTGTTTATTTAAAAAAAGAACTAACATCTGTTTACAATCAATGATCAGAAAAATTTTACCATTTCAATTGTATTCTACTTAACCGACCATCGGAGCACGGGTAAAAGCCAATATGGCGTCGCAGTAATCAGTCAAATACGCCAAATTAATATAGGTACGACTTAATCGCTGGATTCGTAACATTAGCATTTGAATTTTTGTATTCTGCTCATCAAAAACTATTAGATAAATAATTTTGTATGCCCCCAAAAAAAAGTTTAGCCAAACTTAACAGTATCAGTACCCCATTAACCAGTTGCGACTATATTCGTCATGGAGATATGGCAGAATTTTGTGTCGTGATGACTATGTCCATCATGCGTAAAATTTTGATATTTAAATTATAATTTTGGCGAAAACTAAATTATATTTGTAAATTGTAATATGTTTAAAATGTTTAGAGGTCAACACGAAATGAAATAAACAAATAAAAAGTGTAAACGATTTGAGATGGATTCATAAATCCTTGAAAGCTAACTCGTCACCGCTTGATTATCGCGACACACACTGGTGCCCGCTTTGCAAAAAGATCGCCACAGTTAACTGGTTAAGAACCACTAAAACATTGATAATACATGGAAAATCGATAGCAGCAGCACGGATCGAATTTCGTCGATCGACAGTCAAAATTTTCGTCGTCGAAAGCGAGGACGTACACCGTGACGGGCTAACGAAACTGGCTACGATTAATTTCGAAGCTGGACGCATCAACGAGCGAGGTTTGCAACCGACAGCCAGAACAAGCGATAGTTTTAATTCTCCACGGAACCGTGTTAAAGACCGGTGAATCGGAAACGGAACGGATTTCCGGAAATTACAAAGTTCACGATAGGGCAACAAAAAGAAAAAAAGAGAACACTCGGTTCGAACGCGTTCGATGATTCTGCGTTCCATTGATTAAGATGTCTTTTAATCGTTCGATCGTTTGATTTGAAACCGTTTAGTGTCTTCCATCTAGTTTGGGAATATATAAATTCAAGTATTTTATTGCTTTTTATTCGAGAAATTGAGTTTCGTCTGAAATTGCGAACATACTTCATTCTTTAGAAAAGAGTACAGACTTTTTGTAATCTTATGTATTATGCAATATGTAGTTTTATTTACCATTCGATAAATTGGGATTTACCTAAAATTGCAAATTATGATTCGCTCTTTTACTAGTAAATTTTACAGATTTTTGTAAACATATGTATTATGCATATATGTAATTTTATATAAGCTAAGCTTGTCTTTAAGTTGTTG